ATTTGGGCCCCAGCTATTTACAATATTTATAAATGACCTGGATGCAACGTGTCCATGTTGCTGACAATATATAGAAACATAGAATATAGGAGCAGGAGTAAGCCATTCAGCTCTTCGAACGTGCTCCTCCATTAGGATCATGGCTGATCCGGCTCAGAAGCCTGTTTCTGTTTTTCCCACATATTCTTTGGTCCTTTATCTCCAAGTGCTTTATCCAGTTGCTTCTTGAAACCATACAGTTTTTTTGGCCTGGACAGCTTTCTGTGGTAGTGAATTCCACAAGTTCACCATTCACTGGGTGAAGGAATTTCTCCATGGTAGCTCAGTGACTAGCACTGCTGCCTGATAGCCCCAGAGACCCAGGTTTAATTCCAGCCTTGGCTGACTGTGTAAAGTTTGCACGTTCTCCTTGTGTCTGTGTGGGCTTCCTCCGGGTGCTCCAGTTTTCTCCCACAGTCCAAAAATGTGCAAGTTAGGTGTTGGCCATGCTAAATTACCCTGTAGTGTGCAGGCTAGGTGGGTTAACTATGGTAAATGTGGGGTTACGGGGATAGGGTGGGGTGCTGTTCAGAGGGTTGGTGCAGACTCGATGGGCGAAATGGCCTTAATCTGCACTGTAGGGATTCTATTAAATTCTATTTCCTAAATGGTTTACCATGTATCTTTAGATTGTGACATACAGTTCTGAACATTCCTGGATAATCCTTTCTACATCGACTCTGTTTTAGACTTTTATAGCCACAATTTGGGTTGGGATTATGGGCTGTGAGGAGAATACAAGGAGGCTTCAGGTTGATTTAAACAAGTCAAGTGAAAGGGCAAAAACATGGCTAGTGCATTAGAATGTAGATAATTATGAAGTTATACACCTTGATGTGAAAAACAGAAATTTTAGTATTGTTCAAATGGAAAAAAAATGTATTTGAAATTGTGGATGTACAAAGGAATCTGGTTTACTTGTACACCAATCACTGAAAGTAGACATGCAAGTGCAATAAGTAATTCAGAAGTCAGAGGGGTATAGGAATGCCTTACTGCAGTTATATCGCATGCAGTTTTGGACTCCTTACCTAAGAAAGGACGTACTTGTCATAGAGGGAGTGCAGAGGGTGTTTACTCGGCCGATACCAGGGATGGCAGGAACGTCCTATGAGGAATGTTTGGTTTAATTGGGTCTGTATTCACTAGCGATTAGAAGAATGAGAGGGGATCTGATTGAAATATACACAATTCTAACACACCTGGACAGACTAGATTCAGGGAGAATGTTTTCCCTGGTTGGGGAGTCTAGAACCAGGGGTCACAGTCTCATGAAATGGGGTAGACCAATTAGGACTGAGGTGAGGATTTTTTTTATCACTCAAAGTGTTGTGAATTTGTGGAGTTCTCTCCCGCAGAAGGCTGTGGAGGCCAAGTCAGCGAAAGAGATAAATAAAATTTTATATTTTAAAATCGTCAAGTGGGAATATGGCATTGAGATAGGGAATCAGTCATGATCAGAATGAATGGTGGAGCAGACTTATAGGACTGAATGGCCTACTCCTTGTAGGAGTTGTTAATATGTTTCTATTCTGAAAATCCACATGCATCTCCTGGTTTTGATCCAGTGGACTTCAATTTTTCTATAAAATTTAAAAAGTGACACTTTGGCAGACATTTGTTGGAAGTCCACAAAGACAACATCAAATGTAGTCCCTCCGTTAGCCTCCTCTGCCACTTCACCAAAAAATGCAATTGAGTTTGTCAAAGATAGTTTGTCTTGAACAAATTGGTGCTGACTTTCCATTTTTTGTTAGTACATACTTTTCCAAATGCCTGTTAATATTGTCCTGTATTGTCATTTCTAATTCTTCCCACCTCTTGCAAAATACTGAGTTTATCCTTCTGCCTCCCCCTCTCAACCTTCTCTCAACTGTAGTTGTTTGTCAAATTTAAATCTTACAGATGTCAGTATTTAACACCTGCATTTTGCTTCAAGTTCTGTAGTGGTGTTGGCAATCTCATCTCTAGATTGGTGAGCTATCTACCAGGAAGTACATCTTGCACTAGAAGATACATTAATTGGTCATAATAAGAAGCCTGAACCAATTGATGCCCATTCATATTTCCAACATGGAACTTCGCACAATAGGAGCATTGCCAAGAATCTATTTCCGTCTGCAACTTGCAATCTTGGCAGGTTAAACTTTGTGCCAGGAGTCCTAATTGGTATTGCGTTCATGAGATTAAGGACTTGAACTCCATAGAACATAGAACATTACAGCACAGTACAGGCCCTTCGGCCCTCGGTGTTGCGCCGACCTGTGAAACCAACCTGAAGCCCATCTAACCTAAACTATTCCATTATCATCCATATGTTTATCCAATGACCATTTAAATGCCCTTAAAGTTGGCAAGTCTACTATTTTTGCAGGCAGGGCATTCCACGCCCTTACTACTCTCTGAATAAAGAACCTACCTCTGACATCTGTCCTATATCTATCACCCCTCAATTTAAAGCTATGTCCCCTCGTGCTAGCCATCACCATCCGAGGAAAAAGGCTCCCACTGTCCACCCTATCTAATCCTCTGATCATCTTGTATGTCTCTATCAAGTCACCTCTTAACCTTCTTCTCTCTAACGAAAACAGCCTCAAGACCCTCAGCCTTTCCTCATAAGACCTTCCCTCCATACCAGGCAACATCCTGGTAAATCTCCTCTGCACCCTTTCCAATGCTTCCACATCCTTCCTATAATGCGGCAACCAGAACTGTACGCAATACTCCAAGTGCGGCCGCACCAGAGTTTTGTACAGCTGTAACATGACCTCACGGCTCCGAAACTCAATCCCTCTACCAATAAAACCTAACATACTGTATGCCTTCTTAACAACGCTATCAACCTGGGTGGCAACTTTCAGTGATCTATGCACATGGAAATTACAATGTATTTTCCCAACAAAATAAATTCCTTTGTTTAGTCAGATTCTAATTGGAATTCATAAAGAGATAAATTTGTTTGTAGAACACACTTGGCAGAAAGTTGGGATTAACAGATGATTGACTTTTCTCTCTGGTCTGATAGAGGTGCACAATATAAAGGAGGGTTTGAGGAAGAGAGGCCAGTTACAGATGATTTCTTGAACATTTGTTCTATTTGGTATTTCTGAAAAAGTATAAGCACATTCCAAAAGGACATGCTTAGGATTCTGTTTGGAATGTTGAAACGAACAAATCTTAGTGGAAACATTGAACAATGTTGCGACATAACACGACCAGAGACATTCTTAACGAAGAGCAAAGAGAGAATTATATTCTGGTTTTCATTAATCTTTACTTGAAATGTCAATAACTATTTCATTCAGTTTATGTGAGTATTTTATTGAGCACCAAGGGGTAATTTTCCACATATGCACTTGTATTGGGCAACCTCACCCGTCCCATATTGCAAAATCACAGGCAACAATTTCAATATGTGCTGGTGGCAGGTTCCCTGCTGCCAGTCTATCCTGGAAAATTACTCTTATTATGTTAAAAATGCAAAAAGAAACACATAATTTGAGACATCTATATAAATTAAGAATGTCCTGTAACATGCTTTGTTGATTTTGGAAGTATTCTAGTAAAGAAACCCAGCACATCGGAAACAACTGCTGTCAAATATTTGTCCAGGAATGTGCTCTGAAGTCATTTCAAATTCAGATTGATCTGAAATGAAGCCAATTGGATCTGTTTAGAATTATCCCAATTTGTCCAGTATGGACCTGTTATAATTTTAGACACAGTTCATTGTCTGGTTTAGTTAAATGCAGCCTCAAATTTTGTAGCACAGATGTTCAGCTCAAACAGTCTGAAGCTGGTTCCAGTAAGCTGGTCAAAACACCTGCATTCAAGTTTGAACTCAGAGAGTTCTGTAGCTTCACAAGTGGGAAACCAAAAGAAATGACAGGGGACTGTTTCCCCCAACATGTAAAATGGAGAGAACAGAATTATTTTTCCAGTTTACGCATGATCATTATGTGCTTTGCAGCCTGATTCACAGATTTTCTACCTGGTAAATTGTCTCTTTAATTGTTGGAGAGGCATCAAAAGATGATTATTATGAATGCTGAACAACTTCTGTTAACTCTCACAATTGAAATTGCACACAACGGTTTGTGTGCTACTGTATTGTTATTTTCTGATATAAATACCTACAAAGTTAAGAAAAATACCAGTTTTCTCACTTGCTGCTTGTCAACCTCCATTGGGAAGCTAATGAACTGTTGCCTCCTCATGAGTAACCTTCAGGATGGCCCTGTACACAACAAGTTAGCTAACTGTTTTTGATGTTACTGGAAACAGCCAGAAACATCACCATGCAAAAGCTGTTTTGATGTTGAACTCCAAGTCTCCTTAACAAGTGGCACCAGTAATTGCCCCCCGGTGCTAGCTCACATTGTGCTCCAATCTGAAGATAAGGTGTGATTTTCTGTTACTGAAGAGGCACCTATTCCTTTGTACTTATGGTGCTGTTCTTCTCAATGAGTTGGAAGCCTCAGGACAAACTCAGAAGCACTAACATGTGAAGCAATTGAAAAAGGATGCAGAACCTTGATGAACTCTTTCCTCCGAAGTAGTTCAAAACCAAGCAATACACAATGCAGCCAAACAGGTGGCTGATAGATGCTTGCATTTGTTTCAGAAGGCAGAGAAGGAGTAATATGTTTCCGGCGCACATCCTGCATGGGAAAATAATGCAAAATTTGACCGCAAAATTTGGCCTTTGATTTGAACCCATAAAACAGACAAAGCATGTAACATATTTAAAAGAAATTTTCTAAATTTATGACCTACGTGTAGCTGAAATAAAAAATGAAATAACTGCGAGAAAAGAGCAGGTGGTCTGCCAAAATCTGAAAGTGGAAAATAATCTATCTATCATTCCATCAGTGACACTGAATGTTTTATGTGTATGTTTTTCAAATATGGAATGAATTAGTTAAAACAAATACTTTAGCAATGTTATCATTTCTTTCTAGGAAGAAATATCGGATAACTATTGAAAGACGTGCACAATTGCATGAAGTTGACAATGGTAAGCATCACCATTTGAGAGAAGACTCTGTCCGATCCAACCTGTCAACAGCCTAAACTGTAAAATTGAATCTTCCTTCTTTTAAACTTGCAACTTTTAGGGAGGTTTACCAAAGGTATCACTGCAAACAAAAGGTCGATAAGAAATGCATTCTTTTGAAGACAAGGCTATTAGTATGTCATAGATTTTTTTTGTTGCTTTTGAAAACTCAGGAATAATTCATATATTACACTGCACCACTGTACTGGAAGCTTCATCTCATTGAAGATGATAAAATGTGATTCAGCCTGTTTCATAGAGGCCAGCAATGACTTGCACTGGCAACCTAAAAAAATCTTCAAAAGAAGATATTTTGTAGTTGTTTATCCCAACAGATTAGTGGGAACTGTCCAGTATCCATCCTTAAACTTTACAGAATAAAATTGCTCTTAGAGCCAATATATCTTAGCAAAGTTCATGAATTCTTAAATCGTAGTAACAGATGTAAATTTTTTTTTAGAAACATTACTATTAAAGGGTAAAATTTACCTTTGGATATAGTTTTGTGTGAATGCTTAAGGCATTTAAATCAAATTTCTCTCTTGACTGTAACAACAAAGGTGTTCATTATCAATGAGCCTCTTTTTTCAGTAAAATAGCAGAAAGCATATTTGAGACAAGCATTAAGGATTCATTCATAATATAGGTGATAGAAATTACTACCCCTGTACAGTTTAAAAATATATTTCAATGGATCCGTCTATGTGAGTTTCCTATATTACACATTAAAAAATTGCAATTTGTAGATTGCAGTTATTGCATATGCCATAGAAGGCTCACTGAACTAGGCTGCTGTTTGCTGTGTTATAAAAGTTATTTCCTTTATTGGACATGATAGCTAAACCTTCAGCAATGGTTAATGACAACAATAACTTGCATTTATATAGTACTCTAAATGTACAAACTGGCTGAAAGTGCTGTACCATTGTTAATCCAGTATGTTTGATCGCTCTGTCATACTTGTAAACTGTAAACAGTCGCTTAATCATTGGCAGCTAAGGATCATCTGTTTTACACAATAATTGCTGATTTCATTTACCAAGGATTGTAATCACAACAATTTTGAAAACTATGATGCAGAGTTAGGAATTAGTTATACATCTCACATTAAACTATATGGACTATAAAATGAATATTGACTTTCAACATTGACAGTAAGGATTATTTACATTTGAATAATTTGGGAATACTGTCTTAAAGGGGTATACCATAAATAAGTCAATAATTGATATTTTTAGACTATAATAAGAAAATATTAAGCAATTTATAGTATTTTCAATAATATGCTAAATAATATCTTGTATATATTAATTAATTTGAAAACACTTGTACAGTGGTAGGGAAGATGAATCTTTCATGGTCGTTTAAAATAAGTTTCTTAAAACATTATTCAAGTTGATTTATTTAGATGCTATTGTTTGTACGTTAGTGGGCAGTGAGAATGTAAACAAAGTCCTATAATGACCTTATTGTGGATGGCAGAGAAATTGGTTACCTATGTTGACAGACACATATACATAATATATAGTATACTTGTCACGGTGCAAACATTGTGGAATATTCCAAGTTAATTGTGCCTCGTATTCACCTCACTAGATTCTAATCGCTACATCAAGATTTAAGCAAGTTGTACCATATTAATAATATGGTCGGTGTATAGACATTTAATTTCATAGTACAGTGGTTACATTTGCTCAATTTAGTTTATTAATTGTTTCTACAAGTAAATAATGCTCATTTGGCCCTGAAATATACTCTGTTTAAGTGTAAATACTGTACATCTGATGTGTTTTTAGCATAGTCTGATGGATTTTGTAACGTATTATGCCATCAGAAAATGGCTGTGAGTTTATAATATAACTTTCAAACCAATTGCAAAAACAAACCTGGTTTTTAGAAATGAAAAGTCATTAATCAAAAAAAGCATTAAAAAATCCCTTCATAAATGTATATTTGAAGTATGTGTGGAGTACTGAAGGTGTATTCCAAATTAGATCTGATCACTTTCATCAGGCTTTCTTCAAATGAGATCATCACTTCGAAATGAAAGACCAATGCACCTGAATTCGAAGGAAAAACCATTTATATACTGAAGTAAAGATTTCATTGGTTTTTCTGTATTTCTATCACTTCCAGCATGTACCACTAAAAGTGTTGTTAGCAACTGATGATATGAAATGGGCTGCCAATATTCAGATTATGAGCTGCTGTTTTTAAATATGTAATTAGAAATGGAAAGAATTTGTATTAAAGTTTAGCAATTTGAGAATACTGGAAAAAAAAATGTTGAATGCTGATAGGTATGGATGTTTGAAGTGCAAATGCAAGGGTGCCATACAGTATAACAGTAATATACTGACCTAAGTAGAAATATCTGCATATAATGTGATATTTATTTAACAGTTGTGTAGAATTTAATATTCATAACTGTAGATAGTTTTTTTTTTAAATTACCATTGTGTTATATATTCATTCTGGTTGTGTTGGTCAGTTTTAGATTGCCTATACCCTGTATTGTACCATTTTGTCTATTAAACTTAATAATGTGTAAATGTCTTTGTAAGCTGTTTTGTTTTCTGTAAACCAACACGTGGTAGATTATTCACAGAATATTAGAGCAAAGCAGATATTGGCAATAAAATAATGTAGAAATGAAAACCTTTGCTTCTCTGTCTGTGTAATTCTGTGTAATGACGTACATGATGCACACACTGTTTTCTGAGAAATGCTCGGCATGTTTGTGAACTCTTTGGCCCAATGAGTGTTGTAATGCGTCTAAGCAAGTAATGTTTAAACACCACTGCAGGTTTGCCTATTTTGATTGTGCACTCATGGCTAACTCATGTATCATTGGTATCATGTACATAGATTCCTTTTAACTGCTTGAATGGGAATGCTGTTTTGTTATCATGAGCTTTCACCCACGTGCTATACAGTTACTAATACACTTGTCACCATTTTTAGTTCTGACCCTCTATCTAGTATAATTGTACTATTTACAATATTTGTCACTTGCAGTAAATGCTTCCCATTTTATCCCTTTAGGTCCCCACTGCTGCAATCCACTGCTCTATCTCCTTCATCTGAGAGCACGAGATGATCTGGGTCACAATCTACTTCATACCCACCATTAATGTCCTACCGTAATTGGTCAACAGGAGGTGAACGTCTGCAGGGCAGGACTGGTCCTGCCAGTTCTTCCTGAAGCTGAGATGGAATATTCCATTGCTTCCAGGCCTAGACCTGGTCAAACTTGCCCATTGACTTACAGCTTTCATAACTATTTAACTTTGGTATGGAATATTTGCCTGAAGAAAGTTTCCAAACTCCCAAATATTAGATATTTGCTGTGGATCCCTGTTTTGCAAAATATCCTACCGAATGCATTGTATCAGAAAAAATGGTGTCCCCAGACAGCAGCACCTTAATCTTGTCTCACAGTTTAAGGTTGAACCAAAAGAGCTTTGAACAATGTCAAAAGTTTTTCTGTACTCATATCATGATTCGTCTTCCAAGGGACATATTGTTCTATCACTTAAACTTTCTTGAATATCAGGAACAAAAACAAAGTTGCTGGAAAAGCTCAGCAGGTCTGGCAGCATCTGTGAAGGAGAAAACAGAGTTAACGTTTTGGGTCC